ATCCCGCCCATAACCTCCAAGTCCAATTTCATAGACAGTATGCGTAAACGAGGAAAACCAAACATTCTCTACTGAAATTAAAAAAAAAAACAAGAACCGACCAGTCCATACATATTCCACACGACCAAACTCTATCCATAAAATCCAAATTTCTTTGTTTACTAGCATACCATACATCGCAAAGAGTCTCACCCTAATAAGAGCTCCAAAACTAATTTGAATAAAGGTGAAAAATTACTGAAATTGATGAACAAATAAATAAATAAACATCTAAGAAAGTAAGTGCTATAAATTTGAAAGAAAATCCAATACTGAACAAAGTGAAAGATTCCATTTTATATAATAAACATGTAGAAAGACCAGTTTGATCCACCATTTTATGTGTCAAATATAAAGATGATGGGGTAGGAAGACGAATATCATGAGATTCAACCAGTTGAGAGGTATGTCTTTTTCTATTAATCTTATAAAACTAATATCTGACATTAATCGAAATCGGTTAGCCCCCCTTCCTTCCACATAGCTTTATTTCTATTCTAGTTGTTTCTATTTCGACTTTATCTAGAATGTCAGACAGATCAGTCTGTGACGGTTTCATTTTTCGGTAGATTACACGGGTCAGCCCACAGTGAACCGGTTACGGCCAAAAACTATTTTTCTAGACTCACTGTTGTGGGCACAGAAACGGCACCTCAACCAGAGGCCAACAAGATAACCTATTCAGCTAATCGAAGGGCCAACTAGGATATGTGTTTACTAAAAATGGAGTATCTCACCAACCGGAATATATTTAGTTGTGAGACCAGTTTTCATGCATTCTACACTCAACAAAAATTCAGTGACAATTGGAACCATCGTCAAATCTACTCTGGACCAGGAAGATAGGAATTTTACAAACTAGAGGTTCCCCAGCCCGCCCATCTGCGAGTATCCGAGTTTAGAAGTTGTTTCAAGCCCAATAAGAAAGTATTCCAACAGAATCCAACTCATGGAGTTCAAGATAAATCTCTTAGCCAAGAATGATTAGAAATTTCCACCGACATATGGAGTTATGGCCCAATCTCTAAACCCGGTTAAACCAGTTCTACACTTGCCTAAATTGGAAGATCCGGGTATTGCATCTAACCAAACCCAATTCTGGAAACCAGGCGACTTTTTCAAATTCTAGAGGCTCTACAAAATTTCCTAAGATGCACCACGCAACACCGAATCAGGCGGATCCTTAAAGAATACACCAAACCAAACCGTAGCTGGGTATGGAAAAATTAGACAATCTTTCGGTTTAATCATTTCCATGCCAACCAACTCCGACCAGAAGACTTTCTGACTAAACAAAGACATCCAGAAGACGTATATAACCATCCAGGAGGGTAATAGACATTCTTACAATGCACCAGCATGCAGAGGATCAGGACAATCTACATTTACTTCAACTTGCCTTATTTGGAGCTTCTTGCAATAAAGCTCCGACAACTCTTTCCCTATCATTTGAAGCACGACATCAGCACATTCCAGAAAATAAAGAAGGTTCCCAGGAATCTCTTAAAACCATCCAGGTTCAAGAAGATTCAAGATTCTTATTTGGAGTTAAAATCCCATAAAGAGCTCCAATGGCTAGTTTTTTTATTTCTTGCTTAATTTTGATTTATTTCCTTTCTTTTCTGTTATGGACGTTAGACTAAGATTCCTGATCATTATATAAGCTCATTGTCGACCTATGTACAAACCACCTTTCAATCAATAAAAAGCATACATATGTATTTTCAGTCAAAGAGTGTTCTTTGAGTTTTTTTTTAGTTTCTAATTGTGAGATACATTAGGAGACTATAGAGTTCGTCGTTCATAGGTTCTTTGTGTGATTCATGGGCCTTGAGACACATATTAAGAGATTCAATCAGCATCCACGGATTAAGAGAGTCAATCACCATCTATCCAACATCATCATCCATCCATCATCTATCTTCACTTCATCAAACATTCCATCGTATCTTTAGTGTCTGTTCTTGTTTTCATTATTTATAAACTCATTTTTCTTCCTTTTCTTTCAGGATAGGACTTGAAAGGACAGCAAGTTTGTCATCTTCACCATCTTTCCATCTGATCTTCATATCCATTGATAAGATCGACCCATCGCACATCCATCTCATCGACCCAGCTTTCGTGCCTGTAACACTCACCTCGACTACCGTTTTATTTGTGTCCAAATTTAACATATAATACTACAGCCCCCATGAATCAAATAACAGATGCCTTAACAACACCGCTGCCGCGCCTCAGAAACAAGAATGGATTTGTTGACTCCATGTTATCTTTTTTTTTTCTTTTTTTTTCTTTTTTGACTCAACTACAACTTTCGATAAAGTGATCTAGTATCACCTAGGAACACATGATGGATCTTATACTACCAGAATCGAGACTTCATTGTACTTTCACCAATGAGAACAAGCTCACTCTGCTACTCTAACAAGTCGCCTCTTAAACCACACCTAAATTGACAGAAACGAGACGACAGTTCTGAGAACTCGAATGGGACAAAGCTAAAATAAGATTACAATTCATCCCATGTCATTGGACACCTAAATATTAGAATGACAGGACGGCCTAACATTTCGTCTCCTTACGGCGCAAATCCGGTGAAAACCCATCATCTTCGGGGCCAGAATCCGCTCCTTAACCATAAACTGGGAGTAACCCGTACTGAAAGACGGACCTTGGTGACCATGACGTGAGCAGACCATAAACTAAGGTTATCAATGGCGTGAGGTTTCACCGCCGAGCGAGACAGGAGGCGTCACCGCCGACGCTGGGATGTGAACCCTCATCGCGTACCTCTTCAGAGCTCGCCCTCCGGTAGTGGTGAAGCAAAAACTCTGCGACGCGCCTTCCACAAGAATCGAGGACCAGAACCATCTTCACCATCAACCGTCGTGCTACATCTCCGTTTGACACACCATCACACAAGATCGTAGAGCTAAGGTGAAAGAGATCTCCTACTGAGGCTGTCGCCATGAGAAGAGCGCCAGAGATCTAAAACAGAAATTGACTCATTACCTCCTCTCAGTCTTAAAACCAACCTGCCCCACTTCCGCCTTCCTACTACTCACTTCTCCTCGAAGGACGCCATGATATGATGCTATGACCACACAAGTCCTCCGGAGTCACCTTGACAAACCAGAACAGCATGCATCTCATCTTAGGGGTTGGGTCAGAATGGAGAAGGCAAAGAGAAAAGAAGGTAAAGGGAGGGAGGGGACCCTCCGGCACCGGAAAAAACGCCGGACCGGATGTCGAAGGTGTGAACCTTTTTTGGGGAGGGGGGCTGAGAAAGAGACTCGAGAGACTAGGGGTACTCCTGATATGATTTCTTCAATATTCTTGTCTTCCACTTATGAAAGCTTCTATAAATACTTAGCTCCTAGAGTAGTACACAGTACTCATCCATATATATATGTTTGATAGTGTGAATGATTGGTTGGGATGTAGCAATTGACTTTAGCTTTAATATCCATCTACAACCATACAAGTTAACGATCATGATCTAGTTTTCAAAACTAAATTCAAAAAGAAAATGATTTAATCAATCTTTTTTTCTAAAGCACTATTTTATAAAATGTAGAAAAAATTACTACTGTAAAAATCTTTTATTTTTATTTCCTTTCTCATCTAATTCTTACAGTTACATTTATCACAACTATGTCAAAAAGTCATACAGACAAATTTCTATAGTAAATTTTCTACATCTAAATCCCATAACCGATCAAGATTTACGCTTTATATTTTTCACAGTAGAATTTAAGTTGGTGCTTTTTTTTGTATGTTTCTTTTGTTGTAAATTTGTAAAACATTATTTTTTGTTCTACAAATAATGCTCGGCTATATTTTATTTTCGGATTTTTTTTAATCTAAGTTTTTAAAGAAAAAGAAAAGTATCACTGGTACATATATGTCTCTAAATTAAATATTGGTTATCAAAACCATCTATAGCTACAACGAATCAATTTAGTAGTCTATGTGGATATGTATGAAAATCAATCCTACTAGAGTAGAAATGGCAATTATGGACATGGACCGCGGGCCTGGCCTGTAAAGAACTGTCGTGAGACGGTATTGAGACGAGCTTTTCTAGGCCCGTAAATATGTAGACCTCACAGGATGCGTATTTGCGAGACTGGATCTTTGCGGGATGGACCAAAACGGGTAAGGCGAGATTACAAGGATCCACTTTTTCATTTCTTGTTTTACCTAAAAACAAAAAAAAAGAGTGAGAAGAAGAAAATTCATGTGACTTCCTTGAGAAAACGTAATGAGCTCCGGCAATGATGATTCGAGTTTTAGTGATGATAATTCGAGCTCTGATGATGACGACTGCAGCTCCGGCCATGACGATTCGAGAATTGGCGGTGTTCAGATTTGGTTTTATCTTTTTATTTAATTTGGGATTGGCAGATTTGATTTGGTGTTGATTTTATTTAATTTTTGGATTCAGCAAACTAAAATTTTGGTTATGAACTTATGAGTTATAAGATAATGAAAAATATTTTCTGTAATTATCTTTACTTTGTATGTTAATATGTTTTGGATGTGATAAAAATAACTACAACTACTGTTTTGAATAAAAAAGTAAGCAAATCAATAACTGATTAATTATGTCCAATTGAATCGACGACTTGAATCATGTCCCAAAGTGGCCTGAAGCATTTTGGAGTGGCCTGAAGCATTCTACTGCATGTATTATCACATGTCTCACGTGCCGATCCGCAAAGGCTTGTACATGTAACGGACAGTTTTGGGCAGCCATTCTGGAAACCACAGTCCGCGCGGACCTGACCCACTATGACCTGCTTGAAAAAAATTCTAATCTGGTACAGGTCCGGAACGGGATGGGACAAGAAAACATGTTTGCAATCCAAGATCTCTCACAGAGGCGGATCCATTAAGAGTTTAGTGGGGTCACATAATACTCCAAAAAAAGGGAAACTGTAACAAAGATCTCGGCTCAAATGGTAAGTTTGTCCCTAATGACCCCACATAAAGCTTGCTTGAATGCTCTCTAGAACCACTCTAACTAAAATTTTAATTATTTTATATTTGTATTATGTGTTTTATTATCTGACACCAGTAAATAAAAATTCTGGGTCCGCCCCTGTCTCTCACAAACTACCACGAACTATTGGAGGCAGCAACTACTATTTTAATATTCAATGTTAAACAATAGTATTTTATAGCCTGTTTTCACTATTAGTATTTTTGTTCAAAACCTCTATCTATGACAAGATCTAGTTTTGGATCCGGCGGTCGGCCGGCGCATGAGCGTCCGTGCCATCGCCGGATTCCTCTTTTTTTTTTTTCTTATCTTTTAGTTTGTTTTCTGTTTCATCTTCGTAGTGTCTTTCTCGTGTTGGTCTGGTTTGTAAGATAAGGGTTGGTTTTCGGGAGATGAAGGCTACCCTAGATCTGTCGTCCTCAGTTTTCTACGGGAGGTGGAGGCTCATTCAGATCCATCGTCGCCGGTCTTAGCTAACGGGAAGGGGAGGCTTATTCAGCTCCGTTTTCGCCGTCTTTGGTTCCGGAGAGTGGAGGCTCACAAAGCTCCACGCTGCCGATTTGGTACCCGATACTCTTTGGGTTTTGGTTCTAGTTCGAGGTCTGTAAATCGCGGTTTGGTTTTAGTCGTCACGGCGTTGGTGGATGAGTTCTCGTTCGTCGATGAAGCTCTCCGACGACGGCGATGACGTTAATGAAAAAGAGAGGTTAGTAGGTTAGCAGGTTTTATAGCGCAGATATTCAATCTCAAGAGAAGGCGTTGATGCAAAGGATGAGCTCTCGGTTGTGACTGATTGATGCTCTCCGGTGAATGATTTGCGGTGGGGAAGATTTGAGAATCAGTGAGATCTGGTTCGGCGCCGTCAAGCCGTCGGCGGTAGAGAGAGCCAAGAAAATTAGGGTTTCTGTTATGAATGATTTGGGTTGGGCTTGAGGCCCATTATTGTATCTTGTTTGGTTTATTCTGGGTTGGGCCAGCAGTTTGTATGTTTGGACTTTAGGCCTTGGGCTTTTTAGTATCTAATCAAAATTAACGAGTGAAAAAAAAAAAAAGAACCTCTATCTATGACACATAAAACCAGAACGCAATTGATCAGGTAAATTACCACACCTTAGGTAAGATAATCACATGACACAATATCTGTTTTATGGTCTAATGATAAACTGAATTCAAAATTAAATGGTATGTCTTTAAAATGACAAAGTTGTTTTGGCTGAATGTTTCACCATGTGATTGTCAATATTCATGCTTTGGAAATAGAGATAAGTTTTTCAGGAAGAATGTTTGATTAGTTTCCTTGAATATATGATTGGAGCATCTATATAAAAGAAGACATCTTCACAGCTATATTCTTTTGTTGCAAATGCCACATCACAATTTTGTTACCGTTGAACATGTTGACTGTCTTTTGTTGATATATGGATTTCGTCTTTTCTTCGATATTGGACTTGTGTTAGTGGGCTGTGTTATGATGATAATTGCTGATTAATGTGTCTATAACTAGTTTTTTTTTGGTAGGATGTGTCTGTAACTAGTTAATAAAGAGTTAATCCAAAATTTATGATTCAGTAATTATAATTTTTCTTAATTTTATGATCAATGGTTTAGTAAAAAGACTTTGTTGTATGCTTTAAGTATATGATAGATGTTAAAGTTGTTGCAAATTCCATAGCACAAGTGGTGTTACTGTTAAATATATTGACTGTCTTTTGTTGATATATGAATTTCATCTTTTCTTTGATATTGGACTTATGCTAGTGGGCTGTGTTCTGATGATAATTGCTGATAACTGTAACTATTTAATAAAGAGTTAATCCAAAATTTATGACTCAGTAATTATAATCTTTCTTGATTTTATGATCAATGGTTTAGTAAAAAGACTTTGTTATATGCTTAAGTATATGATAGATGTTAAAACTGCTGGCAAGTTATTTAAAAATAAGAATATTTAGAATTGTTCAAGATATTATATTAGTCATAAGTATTAATCCCAAAATACACAAAGATTAGAAAGCTACAATGATTAAATATACAATATATTTTCAAAACTAGACACAACAATGCAGTGGAATTAGTAATAGCCACAACACTATTAACAAAATCTTATAAATATTATTCAAAATTTAAAACTGAATTGAATATGAAAATACAAAAATAATTTTGTCATACCACGTATGAGGTCAACATATCAATATTATTAATTTAAGATCACTTTTATTTTTTTCCCCAATAACTATTTGGTATATAATTATCTTTGCCATTGGACCTACCATTTAAGAATGGTTATTTCATAACCAATTCTCTACGCTTTTCATATTTTAATTATGTTTCCAAAATAATTGGGACCAGCTTTCTTTATATATCTAAACCCTTTTAACAAAATAAAATTATATAAAATTTCAATTAAGTAGATGGGCTTTGCAGTTTATAGTTTACTATGGCCTTTTATAAGAAAAAAAAAAATCAAATTGTTTTATTTCTAACTAATAAACGATGCACACGTTATTGCTTAACATATAGAAAGTGAATCCAGTGCGAGCCATGATGATGACTTTTGAAAAACGTAAGATTAGATTAATGAGTTTGAATTATTAATAGTACAGATAACATGTATGTCAAAAATTAATTTTTATGATTATAAAGAAAAACATAAATATAATTATATAGAAAAATATAATATAAAAATTAATCTTTTCAAAAAAAAAATCAAATAAAAAATATAGCCATCCTTTCAAGTATAGTTATAAAGAAAAAAATTAAATATAAAATTTAAATTTTTCAAAAAAAAATTCAAACAAAAAATATATACGACTTTACAAATGCGGGTCAAAATCTAGAATTAGACATAAAAGAACAAAATAACAAACACTCACTTTTAGTGTGTTTGTTATGAAACTCAGTTCTTGGTTCCATAAATTATAAACATATATATAATCTAAAAACATATGTGGTATAAATTAAAAGAAATTAGAAGTCATATTCTTAGTTTATTGGAAAAATAAAGAAAAAAATTATGACTTTTTAGTTTAAACTGGCTAAAAATATTACCAATAAATATTACAAAATAAATACAACATCACGTAAAACAACACATAGTAACTAAAATTATAATTTAACAAATTTAAAATACACATACTACGTGTAGCATTAGTAAAGTACTTAACTTTACTAACTAGTTTCATAGCCTCCGCGCAAGCGCGGAGCCAGCAACCTTGACGAAGCATTACGTGGTGTTGTGTTTGAGATTATGAAACATTAGAAGTCACACGGTATGATTAGTTTGATGTAACAACGATCGAAAAATTCAACCGAAAAAATTTGATGCATGTTTTATCTTTTGTGTATATGTTTAGTTTTAATTGTAATGTATATAAGTTTGAATGTAGAACGGGATGGTTAGTGATAGATTTTGTCTAGTAAGTAAATATATGTTTTATGATTTTAATTGAATTTTTTAATTTTAGTAATAATTATAAATGTTTAGTTATGTAATCAATTTTGGTTGGAGGTAACTGGCATTGTTAAAATTTTTTTATTGTTATAGTTAAAAATTTAAATTGTTATTCATTTGGTTAGAAGTCACACATGTTGATAAGAGGGGTAAATTGATTTACGTTTTGCGTATTTGTATGTGTTAATATTTTCATGAAGCATATTTGTATCCTCTATCTATAGCATCGAAATTATTATGGAAGACAGTTTTTTTTAATTGTCGTAACGTATATTAAAAATTATTATTTTTATTTTAGAATTGTAATGTAGTTTGTTTGTGACAGTGTAGGTTAGCATTTTATAAAAAAAAATTTGTAATAATTATGAAAATTTTAGATAATTATGTATAACTAAACCTTTTTGTTTAGGAGCATAGTATATTTGTCATAGTCGAGTAATAACGTTTTAATTTAAAATACTGAATCAGTGAAATGACCATATACTTAATTCAATGGTAAAACAAAAAGAAAAAAGGCCCTAAATTTTAGTCTAAGTAGTTCGGCTTATAATGGACTGAGCGTTGAGTTTTTTTATAAGCTGAGCTTAAATAAAGAATTATGAAAAGTATTAAAGCGTTAAAAAAAAATAGAAAACTCTGAAAAGCTCTCGTCTTTTTTCCGCCGTACAAAAAGGTTTATAGTTTCTTCAAATCTTCCTGCGATTCATCGTTTGTTTAGCGTGTTAGTGTTAGTGAGTGGTTTTGAGGATGTTAGGTCGTGGTAAAGAGTCATTGATGAAAGATATGTTTACCTCAGTTCGTGTCGGTCCTGCAAGATCTCGTGCTCATTCATCGTCGGATTCTTCAGTGGCTTAAAAACCTGCAACACAGAAAGGTTGAGCTTGAATTTGTTAATTGTTATAAGAATTTCTTTCTATTTTTATTTATTTTTATGTTGTGTATCTTAACGTTTTATTTGCCAGACGCTTAGCTTGGGATTGAATATTTAAGTAAGAGTTTTTTCTCAATGTCATTCTAGAAACTTTAAACTATATAGATACATATGTATTCTGTAAACTCTTACTACTTGCAAAATTGAGACAATATTTAAGTGTCCGCAGATATATGTCAATTACACACGATGAACAAAACAAATATGTAAACATAATGACAGCATGCATGCCTGAATATGCCATATATTTCAATCAAATAACCAACGAACCTAACCGACCACAATAAACAAATCAACAAAACGTCTCTGCAACTAAATTAATGTTAAGCCAACTCATCATAAAATTTATATTATATCTTTCTCGCTCCAACACACATATATACAGGTAAGGAACAAACCTTTCAAGCGGATCGAACATACAAAATAAAACGACATGCGCACCCACACACGATTTCTTCATTACGAAGTCAACAACACTTCACCTTTGGGATCCTCGTTACAGTATTGCATGCGAAAGGTGAATTTTTTTTTAAAAGTAGGGTATATTGTATTCAATCCAAAAAAATGTTTTACAGTGGCTTCAAATCAAGTGCTATTTAACAGGTAACCTATAGTAAGCATTAAAAAACATCCAGGGATCATAACCCATAATTCAGAGAGAGTGAAAGGTTGCTTACGATTCAATCAAGAAGCGAACCACAACTCTAGTGGTGGCAGAATCGTTGTTCAGATCGGATCCCTAGACATATCGGATTTCACCAACAACATCTGGCCACAAACAAACAAAAGTCTCAAAAATAGAACCTTGATACAAAGAATCAAAAGACCCACGAGAAGACAGTGTTGAGTGGAAATCTAGATATACAAAACACTGAAGACATACCTGGTAGCTCTAAGTTGGTGTTTGCTAGCACCTAGAGGTGGTCATAACGCCTCACCATGAACCTGTCAGACTTGATAACAGGGGCGTTTGTGTGGACCTCACCAACGCGTGTAGACGGTAGGAAACGGATCAAGAACTGATGGTCCGTCACCTTGTACATGTGGGCAACCCGTGCAAATTCAAAACGCTCCAACCTGACAATACAACCAGCTTTCAATGATGGTCGGTAATGAGTCGCCCGATTCGCAGGGATGAAAGCGTGAATAACCGAATCCTATAACAAACAAATACCAAACTTTAATAGTTCACTGATAAATGTCAGAAAACAAATCTATGTTATACACAACACGTACCAGTTCGTCGAGAAGTAGCAGCGTAATCCCCATAAACTCCCCGTTTTTATTAACGTTGTGTGAATCCCAG